CCTTTAGCCCCTGTTGAGTAAAAGTGGTGAGAGCAGACAGTCTCATCTTGTTTCTGATCCTGGGGTGAATGCTTTTGTTCTTTGACCGTTAAGTATGATGTTAGCCGTTGTTTTTTTATTAATGCCTTTTGTCGAGTTAAGGGTGTTCCCTTCTGTCCCTAGTGTTTTTATCATGCGTTTGTTTATTTATTTTTTATCCTCACCCGAAGACATTTTTCTGCATTTATCTTCAGATGGGGGGGGGGGGGGGAAGAGAGAGAGAGAGAGAGAGAGAGAGAGAAACATTGATGTGAGAGAGACACATCGAGTGGTTGCCACCCACATGACCCCAACCAGGACTGGGGACAAACTGTAACCGAGGTACGTGCCCTTAGCAGGAACCGAACCCGGGACTCTCTGGTCCATGGGCCGACGCTCTAACTGCTGGGCCAAAATGGCCAGGGCCCTAGTGTTTTTATCATGAAAGGATATAGGATTTTGTGAAATGCTTTTTCTGCACTCATTGAGATATTTTTGTCTTAATTCTATTCATATTACATTGATTAGTTTTTATATAAACTATCCTTGCATTCCTGGGATAAATTCCACTTAGTCATGCTGTCTGATTCTTTTTATCTATTGCTGGATTCAGTTGGTTGGTATTGTGATAAGGATTTTTTCTATATTCCTAAGGAACATTGGTCCTTAGCTTTCTTTTCTTTTGATGTGTTTGTCTGGTTTGGTATCAGGGTAATACTGATTTCATACAATGTGTTGGGAAGTGTGCCCTCCTCTTTTGTTTTTTGGAAGAGTTTGTGAAGGGTTGGTTTTAATTATCTTTCTTTAAATATTTGGTAGAATTCACCAGTGAACCCATCTGGTCCTAGGATTTTTTTTTTATCCTCACCCGGGGATATTTTTCCATTTTTTTGTTGTTGTTCAGATAGAGTGGGAGGGAGAGAGAGGCAGAGAGAGAGAGAAAGAAAAACATCGACATGAAAGGGACACGTTGAGTGGCTGCCTCCAGCATGCACAACCCAACTAGGGCTGGGGACAAACTAAGGTACGTACCCCTAGCGGGAACCGAAACCAGGTCTCTCTGGACCGCAGGACAGCGCTCTAACCGCTGAGCCAAGCCAGTGAGGGCTGGTCCTAGGATTTTTTTTATTTTTTATTAATTAATTTTTGTTACAGATGTTTCTCCTTTTTCCCCCACTGATTCCCCCCTCCTTCTCCCTCCCTGCCCTTTCCCCATATTGTTGTCCATGTCCACTGTTCATGCATACATGCATATAAGTTCTGTGGTTCATCCCTCCCCCACCACCCCCCTCTTTAGGGGATTGTCAGTCTGTACCCCGCTTCCGCGTCTCTGGGACTACCCCATTCCTCAGACTGTTATGTTCATTATATTTCACAAATAAGTGAGATCATATGAAACTTGTCTTTCTCTGTTTGGCTTGTTTCACTTAGGATGATACTTTCAAGGTCCCTCCATGTTGTCTCAAAGGATAAGAGATCTTTCTTTCTTACTGCTGCGTAGTACTCCATTGTGTATATGTACCACAGCTTTTTTATCCATTCGTCTACTGGTGGACACTTGTGCTGTTTCCAGATCTTAGCTATTGTAAATAGTGCTGCTATGAACGTGGGGGTACATATATTCTTTCTGATTGGTGTTTCAGGCTTCTTAGGGTATATTCCTAGAAGTGGGATCACTGGGTCAAATGGAAGTTCAATTTTTAATTTTTTGAGGTAACACCATAGTGTTTTCCATAGTGGCTGCACCAGTCTGCATTCCCACCAGCAGTGCACTAGAGTCCCCTTTTCTCCACACCCTCGCCAACACTAGTTGTTTGATGATTTGTTGATGGCGGCCATTCTGACAGGTGTGAGGTGATACCTCTGGTCCTAGGATTTTAAAAAAAATTTAAATTTATCTTTATTGTTGAAAGTATTACAGATGTCCCTCCTTTTTCCCCCATTGACACCCTCCTCCTTGATCCTGCACTGACCCCCACCGTCTCTGCACTGTTGTCTGTGTCCGTTGGTTGTGCACATATACACGTCAGTTCTGCGGTTTATCTCTTCCCGCCCCCCGTCGCCCTTCCCCCCGAGCTTTGTCAGTCTCTTTCCAGCTTCCATGTCTCCGGATAGGTTTGTTCATCAACTCATTTTGTTCATTATATTTGTCCTAGGACTTTTGCAATACATCTTTTTATTACTATTCAGTCTCTTTGCTTGTTATAAGTCTATTCAGATATTTTATTTCTTTAGTCAGTTTCAGTAGTTTGTGACTTTCTGAGAAATTTTTCCATTTCATGTAAGTTATCTAATTTGTTGGCATACAATTAGTATTCCCTTATAATACTTTTTGTGTTGGGAAGGTCAGTAGTAATGCCCTCTCTTTCATTCATGGTCTAAATAATTTGAGTAACTCTCTTTTCCTCATGGTCAGTTTAGCCAAAAAATTGTTAGTTTTGCTGATCTTCTCAAAGAACCAGCTTTTTATTTTGTTGGTTTTCTCTATTTTTTATTCTCAATTTTATTTATTTCTGCACTAATCTTTATTAGTTCCTTCATTCTTCTTGGGTTTAATTTAGTCTTATTTTTCTAGCTTTTAAGGAAGATGGTTTGGTCATTAATTGAGATTTTATTTTTTTAAAAATATAGACATCAATGGCTATAAATTTTCCTCTAAGCACTGCTTTATAAGCATCCCATAAGTATTGGTATGTTGTGCCTTCATTGTTATTCATGTAAAAGTATTTGGTAATTTATCTTGTGATTATTTTTCTTTGACCCATTGATTAATTAGGAGTGTATTATTTAACGTCCACAAAGAATTACCTAATTTCTTTCTGTTATTGATCTCTAATTTTATTCCAGTGTCGTTGGAGAACATATATTGATGATTTCAATCCTTTTAAATTTATTGAGCCTTGTTTCATGTCTTAACATGCGGTCTCTGCTGGAGAGTGTCCCATGTGTACTTGAGAAGAATGTGTATTCTACTGTTGTTAGGTGGAGTGTTCTTTAGGTGTTTGTTAGGTCTGACTGGTTTACAGCCGGCCCTCGTTTATCGTGGCTGATCTGTTCCAGGCTCTGCCGTGATAAATGAATTTCCACGAAGTAGGATTCTTTATTTATACACAGTCGTCCCTCTCCACTTCGCGCTTTGACTTTCGCAGCTTCACTCTATCGCGTTTTCCCCAAATATAGTTTAGTATTTCAAAAAACCAGGATAGAGAGAAGCCGCGAAAGTCGAAGCGCGAAGTGGCGAGGGACGACTGGACAGCGTTGTTCAAGTCTTCTATTTCCTTGTTGCTCTCCTGTCTGGTAAGGCTGTCCGTGATTCAAAGTGGGTATTGAAGTCTCCATCTATTCGTGTTAAAGTATGTATTTCTCCTTTCAATGTCAAGTATATCGGGACTCTGTTATTAGGCACTTATGTTTCTTTTACTTTCATTTATTCTTTCTCTAATGTTCTTTCTTTATTTCTGTAGATCTGAGTTTCTGACCCATATGACTTTTCCTTCTTTTTGAAGACTTTATTTTAACAAGATTTCCTGCAAGTAGGTCTGCTGGTGACAGGCTCTCTCAATTTTTGTCTGATTAAGTCTTTGTTTCCTTAAATGCCTGGAAACAGCATCTTCCGACTCTTGCCGAGGGCTCCGTGTGTGGGGGAGCATCCCCCCAACTCAGCCAGGCAGTGTACACTCGACCTTAGCCTTCATTTCCTGCAGGTGACCTTGACCAGAGCCTCGAGGTCAGCCAGGAGGGAGAGTTTAGGGCCTTCTCAGGTCTTTCCTGAGCAAGCACATGGCCCTGGTCAGGCTCACAGCCCTGCGTGTGATAGCACCATTAGGTTCCCAGGAATCTGGGGGGGCTTCTCAAAGCCCCTGCGGACCCCTCATTCCCCAGCTTTTTCCTTTAAAGCCTTTAAGTCAGTCTGTTATTTGCTTCATCTGTTACCCACCCACTCAGGCAGCTAAGACTTTACACAACAATTTTGACGATAGCCTGTTCTCCCTGTGTGAAGCCTGAATCAGTGAACGTGGAGACAGCCCTGTGACGGGGCTTTCAGGGAGCCATCAGGCGGGTCAGGTCCCGACAGTTCCTGGGAGGGGCTTTGACGGAGCTTCACCCCGTTCCTTCCAGCGGCGGCCAGGCTGCCGGGCTTCCTTGGGATTGCGGGCGGTCGATTTCAGGGGGTGGGGAGATGGGAGTAGAGGAAGCTGAAATGCCACAGATTTGGTATTCATACAGAGATTCTGCCACACTTTGTGAAAATATGCGCTCTACATCGCTGCAAACCTTTGGTTAACTTCCAGAGTTTTGTTTTTTAATCTTCACCCGAGGACATTTTTCCATTTTTTGTTCAGATAGAGTGGGAGGGAGAGAGAACAAGAGAGAGAGAGAGAAACATCGACGTGAAGGGACACATTGAGTGGCTGCCACCCGCACGACCCAACCAGGGCCGGGGACAAAGTGCAACTGAGGTACATGCCCTTAGCGGGAACCGAACCCGGGTCTCTCTGGACCGCAGGCCGACGTGCTAACCGCTGAGCTGACTGGCCAGGGCAGCTCCCAGAGTTCTGAAACAGTTCACGGGACCCTTTGCCGGTGTTCTCACTGAGTGTGTGGAGGAGAACAGGGCAGCGCCTCCTCTCGCCGTGTGCTGGGTGCCCGGGAGGCACCTCGGGAAGCGCAGGGTCCAGACTTTCTGCCCTAATGCCCATCAAGGAGCTGGCACACCAGTCAGGGTGCAGGTGGCTTTCCTGTCCAAAGACTTTATTTTTCTTTTTTGAAGATTATTGGATCTGCTAAAAGCAGGGAGTCTAAAGTCACCGTTCTGTGTCTGCTGTAGAAATAGTCTTACACCATTGGCAAGAAGGCCTTAGCTGGCAGCCTCCTGATAGCCTCCGCTGCCCCTTCGGAAAAGGACTGGATAGAGGAGGCCACGTCCGCAGTGTTTGCTGGAAGATAATAGAGTCCGTTTTCTTTTATATCACAGGGATTTAATGTGCAAAATGGCTACTGTGCCAGATTGGCATACTACGTGCCTTCACACGCAGAAGTTCGCAAACTCGAGACCTCGTTCTTCGTATCGAGTCTGTTCAAGAAATGGTTTCCAAGATGTGTTCAGACCTTCTTCAAGTGAGTATTTGTGAGCACACAGTACGACAGCAGGTGTCACTTATGTGTGTTTAGTACGGACCAGAGTCTGTACAAAGGCTTTGTGGCCTCAAACCCTCACAACAGTATGAAGTAGGTTCCATCATTGTATCTGTTTTCTTCACGAGACATTGGTCATTTACATCATTGTATCTGTTTTCTTCACAAGACATTGGTTATTTACATCATTGTATCTGTTTTCTTCATGAGACATTGGTCATTTAAGCCACTTGCCCAGAAGTTGCGTAGTTTTTAAGTGGCAGGATCATGATCTGAACCCTCCTGGTCTTCCTTCCTCCCCAAACACTTTATGAGCCCTAAAATGTGACAAGAACTGTCACAGGTACTGAGGGTGGGGAGGTGGATCTGGCGGAGGACCTGCCCTGGAGGAGCATGCTGTCTAGAGAGGGAGGTGGAGCATTCCAGTAGACACGTGCTGTGACTGGAACACAGAGAGAGCACTGGGTGCCACCCGGGAGCCAGGGCTCGGTGAGCGGGTACATTGGATTTCCCTTGTGCGCGGAAGAAAGGCAATCAGAAGTCACGCTCGACACCTGTGTGCACTTAAGGTTGATGAGACTTTCATCATAGGGTCACACACGTCCACCAGGGAGCCTGGGAGATGCAGACTTGATGCCAGATGGCCATGTTTCTACCCAGATCTCAGGGCTTCTGTTTCTGCGGGAAAGGGGAGAGGGATAGCAAGGGTTGACCAGCGGTTCCCAGCACAACAATTTATCATCAATAATGACTGTTCAGTCCAGTAGCTCCACTTCTGCAGTGTCCTTCGGATGTATCTGAGTTTAACGCTCTGATAGATCACAGGCGACTAGAGTGAAGTGGGTTGCTGGACTGAAGGGCGTGCCTCCTCGTGCTCTGAGGACTGTCTCTAGGAAGCTGGTACCTGTACGTCCCACAAGTAATGTCTGAGGTGCTTAGTTCTGAGCATCCGAACAGAACACTATCCTCTACATCTTCTCCTTTGAAGCCCAGAAGCAATCTTCTACTGTGATTTTAATTTGCATTTCTTTCGTAGTAAAGGTTAACTTTCAAGTTTATCTGGTTATGACTCTTCCTTTTGCAATCTGCCTTTTCATACCCTCTGCCCGCTCACCTGCTGGGGGCTGGTCTCTACAGTGGTTTGTATGAACTGCCTTGGCACCGAGGACGTCGACCCTCTATCCAGATGCCTGAGGTGCCATCAGCATCTTTTTTCATTTGCCATTTATTTTCATTGATGGTATATATTTTTTCTTAAATTAAGAAATTGTGGCCCTGGCCGGTTTGGCTCAGCGGTTAGAGCGTCAGCCTGCGGTCCGGAGAGACCCGGGTTCGGTTCCCGCTAAGGGCATGTACCTCGGTTGCAGTTTGTCCCCGGCCCTGGTTGGTCGTGCGGGTGGCGGCCACTCGATGTGTCCCTTTCACATCGATGTTTCTCTCTCTCTCTCTCCCTCCTGCTCTATCTGAACAAAGAATGAAAAAGTGTCCTTGGGTGAGGATAAAAAAAAAAAAAAGAAAGAAATTGTGTGTGTGTGTGTAGTGTCTCCTAGCTGCATTTTCCTCTCCCAAAGTGGCCACCAGTAATTGTCTGGCTGGCCTCTCTTGCATGCACACGCACATATGTGTAGATATGTTCTTAACTCGTGTACTAAACAAGCAGAATTCAGGGGCTGAATATGAACCTATCAGTCACAGACATGAGACACACCGTTTCCTTTCTAAATCTTTTTTGCTTTTTTGTTTGTTTTGATTTGAATAATTTCTATCGACTTTCCTCTGTATTCACTAGACTTTTCTTCTCCCACGTCCGGTTTGCTATCAGGCAGATCAAATGAATTCTTCACTCCCGATACTGTGTTTTTACTTCCTAGCTGTTTCCTGTGCTTTTGGAGCAGTTTCCGTTTCTCTGCTGAACCCTCCGTTCAGCCTGTCGTCAGTTTCCTGTCATCGCTGCCCTGTCTGCCGTTCTCCGTTGAGGCACCTGGCCTCTGCGTCTGTTCTCTCCGAGGGCCTTCTCGGGCTGCTTCGGCTCTTCCGTCGCTCACCTTCCTTACTTCGCTTGTCTTGCAATTTAAAAAAGATTTAAGCCCAGACGTTTGTGTAAAAAACTGGAGACAGAAGTAACCAATACGTAGCACCAGCGAGAGAAATGCCGTCCTGCCCAGGCTCCTGGGAGGCTGCCTGCTCCGCTCGACCTCTCGGCGAGCTGCGTCTGGACTGGGTGCCGTTCCGGTCGGATGCGCTGACCACCGGCTTCCGATGTCTGGTGAGACTCCAGAGATCTCTGTCCCACAGCCAGCGGCCAGCTCGGCCTACGGGGGGCGCTTGGTGTTTCCCAGCCTACCTGCCAGTTCCGGAGGTGTCCCTGCGCCCAGCCCCCAGCTCTGCCAGGGCGCCCTCAGCCAAGGGCCGTTGGCTCCAGAGGGCCGGCCTCGCTCTCGTGCCCCGTCCTCCGCGCTGATGAGTGCTGCCCTACACTTGCAGAGATCGGTCCTCCGTGGGCAGGTCACCCCGCTGGGTGCCCCACCCCACTGTGGGTTCTGCTTGCGCACAGCAGAGGGCGATGTATACTTGCTCTGCGCCCCGGCGCCCAGGGTGCGAATCCCTCACCAGCCCGTGTGTGGCGGCTGATGGTCGGTGGCTTCCTCACCCTGCTCAGCGCCTTGGCCTTCCTTCCGGGGCTCCACAAGGAGAAGGGTCACAGGACTTCTTCCCTGAGGGGTGTCTGGTCCTTCTGGAATTCCATTTCTTTACATCCTCAGTTCTCGGAGGGGCTTTTAAACCCATCTTTTTAGCTTCTTCCATTGTTTTCATTGTTAGGGCAAGAGTGACCGTCTGTTGTGACTTCCTCAGTCCTGGGTGCACGTAGAACGTTTTGTCAGATCGCCTCCCAGAAAGGAGGGGTCGGGGCTCCCCCACCAGCAGGCCGCAGAGTCCGGTCACTGCTTCCACTTTGATCCCTGCTGCAGGGCACGGGGGTGACGGTGCTGGCGAACAGGCCCTTGCCCTCGAACCTGGGTGATGCAAGGTGGCTCCAAAGGAATATTTCCTGACAATGCTAGTAATTATGTTTTCTCCTAGTCATTTTAAATTCGAATTATTGATTGAAAAGATGGGTTTCTGAGAAAGCAACTAAAAACATCTATGAGAGTCCGAAACAGATTTCAAGTCGGAGACGTAAACAACCAGGAGCGTCCCCCCGGGACGGTGCAGGAGGAGCAACTGCGGGCGGCAGGGGGAGAGCAGTGTGTGCGGCCGGTGGGGGACCGAGCTGCACCCGGCGAGTCCCCTGCTCGGGACTCCACGTGACCCTCGCAAACGAGGAAGCGTGGCGCCCCCTGCACTTGGCGCACTTCTGCGGGAGGCGAAAGCCCCTCCTCCGCCCCGGCTCGGCCGCCCTTCTCCCGGAGCCTCTGGCCAGGAGACTGCATGGGCCTCGCCTGGCGGCTTCGTGACTCCTCACGGCGTGGCGGCTGGTTGGGCATCTTGGGGTGAGCGGCAGAAGCTGTGATGTCTTTTCAAAAAATTCCTCACTGGAGGATACTTTCCATTTATCTTCAGATAGAGTGGGAGGGAGGGAGGGAGAGAGAGAACATCGATGTGAGATAGACCATCCATTTCTTGCCTCCTGCACAACCCCGACCAGGGCCAGGAGCGAACTGCAACCGAGGTACGTGCCCTCGGCCAGAGTCAAACACGCAGTTCTTTGTTCCGCGGGCTGGCGCTCTAACCACTGAGCAGAACAGGCCAGGGCGTGAAACTGTGATGTCTTTTGCTGCCTTGTCTTGGGAATCGTGTACTGTCAGTTCAGCCCTGGTCACAGGCCCACCCAGGTTCAAGGGCAAAGGCCTGTACACCCCTTTTTGACGGGAGGAGTGTTAGCATGACATTGGGAGAGAAGCATGTGGTGGAGACTTGGAAACACCGCCTGCCACACGCCTGCCACACGCTGCGCTGTTCTCTCTGGGAAGGGTCACCCTCACCCACCCAGCCGCCGTGCCAGACGCACGCACTTGACCCTCTTCTCACCTCGCTCGCACACAGCGGAGGGGCCGTGGGCTCCCCCTTTCTACGTCAGCTTCTAGTTCATCCTGCTTCTCTGCACGGCCCTCACACTGCCGACACCTCCACTCGCACTCGCCCGAGCGGGCAGTAGTGACCCAGCCTGTCTCCTGCCGTCACTGCCCTCCCTGTCCCTCCCCCACATGACACAGAGTGAAGTTCAGGAAGGGAAGCGGGGTTACGCCACCCTGTCGGTGCAGACTCCGTGTGGCAGCCACGACTGGGTCCTGCCGATGTGCCTGCTCTGCCCGTCCGTCCTGCCCCCGTTGCCCAGGCTGGCTGTCCTCCACAGCACCCCCAAGCCAGCTCCTCTCCTGGGGCGCCAGGTTACCGTTGACATGTCACCTCTTTCCTCTAAGAAGCTTTGCCTGAGACCTCCCATCCTGTCACCCGACACTGACCAGCCTCTGTTCTGGGTCTGCAGTGTACCTCGTAATGTACTCCCCTCCCCGAGGAGCTGTGGGCATTGTGAGCAAGAGGCCCCCAGCCCCCATCACAGACCTTGCGTGTGCTCGCCACCACTGATGGCCCGTGCTGCCCTGGGGAGGAGGGGCGTGGTCCCCAGGACCTGCCGTGCTGCCATCTCCACACAGTGTGACTGGGGACACCGACACGGTCTGATTCCCACCTCGAGCACGAGACAGCTCAGGGCACCTCACAGCGTCCAGGGGTCCGTCAGGTCTGCAGGGCCAGGTTGGCACAGTGAGAGCCTGCCTGTCCTTTGAGTCTGTCACCTGGCCCAGGTCACCCCAAGACTAAAGCCACCCTGCCTCGTGCTGGGAGGGTTCAACAGCCTGATAGGAGACTCTCATGTAAGGGAAATTGCAGTCACCCCTCCCCCTGTCCTGCCAGTGAAGTCGTTTGCAGAAGACGAGGCACTGGTGAAGGCGTTTAACACCCAAAATGCACTGCGTCAGACGGGGCCTTCGCACTCTCAGGAGGACACAGAGGAGATTGACCGAACTGCTGTCACTCGGAGCCTCCTCCCCCCAGTAGGCCCCGGAATAATCACGTCTTCATGCTCACGATACTGGCTGGCACTGTGTTTACTACGTTACGTCAGCTGTTTCTAAAGCAGGTCTCACCCTAGGCAGAGGGAAGGGAGGCCTGTGTTGTACCCTCTCTCCTTAGGTGACTCAGGGGACCCTGGGACATGACGCAGTGCAGCTGGACACCACTCCCTGTCCGCCCAGGCAGGGCAGGCCCTGGAAGCTTGCTCTGAGCTCTCAGCACCTGTCCACGCGGTTTACTGCCTGGCCTGTTCTCATTTCTTCCTTGCCTTTGACAGGGAAGTGCTCTTGATTGAAGAATTATATGTTTTTTCCCTCAAAAATTAACAAGAGAGCCCGGCCAGTGTGGCTCAGTGGATTGTGTGTCATCCCATGGACTGAGAGGTCCTGTTCAAGTCCTGGTCAGAGCACATGCCCGGGTTGCGGGCTCAGTCCCCGGCTGGGGGCGTGCAGGAGGCAGCCGACCGATGTTTCTCTCTCATCCATGTTTCTAGCTCTCTCTCCCTTCCTCTCTAAAAAGTCAATAAAAACATATTAAAAAATAACAAGAGGGTGAAAACTCAACATGATATTTTAAAGACTGATTTGAAACGACATTGATTCTTAACTTTTATCCCAGTGTCGTTTTTCACTTGTAATGACACACATCCTTTCCAGGGGAGATCATCTTTGCCTTGGTTTCGCTCCCTGGTGTTCTTACTGCCACGTTGTAGTGACCAGAGGTGAAAGGTGGCGGCAGATTGGCCGAGGAAGTCGCCGATCAGATGCGCACACCCGCAGCAGGAGACCGGCTGGCGGGGTTTGGTCCTAGTACGCACGGGATGTTTGGTCGCTGAGCTCCGAGCATGTCTGCTGAGCAGCTGTCTCTCTCTCCACAGCCACCGCTGTTGCCAACCCGATGCTGTCCTCCCTGGATGTTAAACGGATTCTGTTCCAGAAAATCGCCGATAAAGGACAGGAACTGATAAAAGCCTTCCGGCTGCTCGATGCCAGTCGCAACATGACGGTGTCCAAGAGTGAACTGAGGCGAATTGTCACCACCTTCCTGCTGCCTCTCACGAGGGAACAGTTTCAAGGTGTGCTGGCCCAGGTACAGTCCCGGTAACGCCCTAGATGGTCCCGCCTGCGGGAAAGAGGAAGTGGGTGCAGGAGCTGTGGCCCAGCCTGACTCCCCCTGCCGTCCCAAGTGAGCAGTTCGAATTTTACTTTCTGCAATTCGCTGAATTAAATTCTGGCCGATCTGGGACAATCGGTATGAACTTTGGTCATATTTTGCACGTAACTCTGTGACAGTCAATTTCTTTTAGTTTTTTGGTTTTTGTAAGGCTTCCAATGTATAAAGTATTTGGGAAACTTACAGTTTGGAACTTAGTAACGATGCTCCTTGACGTAACGATGGGCTCATGTCCTGATAAACCCATCGCAAATGGAAAATATCCGAAGTCGAAAATGCATTTAATACATGTAATACCTAACCTCCTGAACATCACAGTTAGCCCAGCCCACCTTAGCCACACTCAGGACGCTCACATTAGCCTCCGGGTGGGCAGATAACACAGTGAATACAGCAGAGAGTATTGATTATTGACCCTCGTGATCATGTGGCTGACAGGAGCTGTGGCCACTGCCCAGCGTCACCAGAGAGTACCACTAGTCCGAGAAAGGAGCAAAATTCAAAGTACAGTTTCTGCTGAATGTGTATTGCTTTCGTACCATTGTAACCCTGAAAAACCACAAGTCGAACCATTGTCAGCTGGGCTGTCTGTAGTTCAGTTTGTTCTTGCATCCCATGGTTACCGTCTACGCTCTGCTCTGTGCAGTGCAGAGCAGCCAGGTCCCTGGGGGGTTCTCCGTCCAGTGCGGCAGCTCTGAATGGGTTGACAGGTGGGAGGACGGTGGCATTAGAGGACATTGTAGGAGTCAGAGGGAGCACTACCTAAAAACGAGGCGTGGTAGTCCAGGGGGGCTTTTGGGAGGAGGAGGTATTTAGCTCAAGGGGAAACACTGCTCATACACACATACATTTATATCTACATTTATTTCTGCATCAATTTTATGGAAATCATGAGTTCACACCAATCCTGCCAGTTCTAATTCAACACTTCAGGGTTCATTCTAGTTCTCTTGCTTTTCATGTTTGTAACTCGCTTTTCAGACAGTGAGAAACTTGGCTTCTGTTATTTCTAGTATGTTTACTCATTTGCTCTGCCTCCCAGACATGTGACTAGTGTCCACTCTTTAGCTCTTGCTCCCCACTATGGGCGGCCACGACTCCTCCAGCGCTGCAGACGCCCCTTCTCTGCCCCAGTTCAGACTCCAGGACTGAGCCATTAGGGGACAGACAGGAAAGGGGGGCGAGAAAGGTGAAGAGCTGCTTCCTCAAAAATAGTTTCTCCTTTTTTTTTATTTCAAAATTTCACAAGTAGTAATATTGACTCTTTCCGATCACTCTTTATTGTATGTGCATTTTATTTATTTATTTATTTTTATGCCAAGTTTATTATTTATTTTTTAATTGAATTTATTAGGGTGGCATTGGCTAATAAAATTATATAGGTTTCAGGTGTACAATTCTATAATACATCATCTGTAAAGAAGCAGGATACAAAATAAATATCCAGAAACCACTTGCATTTTTATACAACAGTAATGAACTATCAGAAAAGGAAACTAAGAAAACAATCCCATTTACAATTGCATACAAAAATAAAATACCTAGGAATAAATTTAACCGAGGATGTAAAAGACCTGTACTTAGAAAATTATAAGACACAAGAAAGTAACTGAAGAGGATACAAGTAAGTGGCGGCATATACCATGCTCATGGATAGGAAGAAATAACATCTGTAAAATGTCCATACTACCCAAAGCAATGTATAGATTCAGTGCAATTCTTGTCAAGATACCATTGGTGTATTTCACAGAACTAGAAAAAAATATTCCAAAAAGTTATATGGAATCACAAAAGACCTTGAATAGCCACAGCAATCTTGAGAAAGAAGAACAGAGTTGGAGGAATCTTGCTACCTGATATCAAATTATACTATAAGGCCATAGTGATAAAAATAGCATGGTACTGGCATAAAAACAGATACATAGATCAATGGAACAAAACAGAGAGCCCAGAAATCAACCCATACCTTTATGGTCAATTAATATATATATACATTTTAAATAATCGCTTTATTAAGATATAACTTACATAACAAATTCATTTACACATGTACAAGTGAGTGATCTTTAATATATTCAGAGTTGTGCAACCATCACTACCATCTAATTCCAGAACATGTCCATCACCCCAAAAAGAAACTCCGTGTTCATTAGCAATCACTCCTCATTCCCCCTTCTTTTGCTCCCTACACCCATTCATCTGTCACAACAGGTTTGCTGATTCTGGACTTTTCCTCTGAATAGAATGATGCAATATATAATGTTTTGTGTCTGGCTTCCTTCATTTAGCATAACGTTTTCAGGGTTCCTCCATGTTGTAGCACGGATCAGTACTTCACTCTTTTTTGTGGCCGAATAGTATCCCCTTGTTTTGTCTGCCATCAGTTGATGGACCTTGGGTGGTTTCCACGTTTTGGCTCTTGTGAACACGGCTGCTCTGACAGTCGTGCCCAGGGTTTGTGTGGACAGAGGTTTCCCTTCCTCTTGGGCACACCCCGGGAGTGGAACAGCCGGGTCCCGTGGGAATGTTCGTTTGCTTTAAAGAACACGTGTCCCGCAAGCAGTGCTGGTTTGCTCTAAGCTCGATTCAGCTGCCACTTGACATCAAGTGGAGAGTAAAAGTAGTACTTCCTGTTTAATGTCTCCTACACTCACGATCTGACGTTAATTTAAAATGTTGCCCGTCTCCCCAAACTCATCAGCTACTCAGGAAGAGGAAAAGGTGCAGGAAGTGCGAAACATAGATCTGTGTTTAAAAGAAGTTACTGGGAACTGTTGAACTTCAAAGATTTTGAACCAGTAGTCTCTCCTAAATGATGAGCATGTTTGTCTAGACCCTTGAGCTCCTGTGACCCGTGTGTAACTCAGGGAGGCTGGTGAGCAGAAGGCCAAGTTCAGTGGGTGTGAAGCGAAGGGCAGGGTTTCTCTTCCCAGTCCCCGGAGTCCAGAGAGTGTGCGACTTTTCTAGATCTTTCAGTGACGAATTCATGTGGTGATACCAACTTTCTTTTCCAATAGTTAATGTAAGCCTCGTGGGAAACATGTAGAACTGGCCAATTATTTCATGGGAATGTCCCCTTAAATCAGAACAGAGTGTTCCCGTCAGAGTGGATTTACTGCTGCTTTAGTTCTACGTCAAGGACCACGGCAGGCGCGTGAGACTGTCAGGCTGTTGTGATGATTGACCAGGGCCTGGACCTTAGTTTCCATGAAGAGTCGTGTGAATTTTTTTAAAAAGTGGCCTTGGCCTCTGTTAATATAAAAATTATAAAAGAAGCCCTGGCCGGTTTGGCTCAGCGGTTAGAGCGCCGGCTTGCGGTCCAGAGAGACCCGGGTTCGGTTCCCGCTGAGGGCATGTACTTCGGTTGCAGTTTGTCCCCGGCCCTGGTTGGTCGTGCGGGTGGCAGCCACTTGATGTGTCCCTTTCACGTCAATGTTTCTCACTCTCTCTCTCCCTCCCCTCTCTCTCCCATTCTATCTGTACAAAAAATGGAAAAATATCCTCGGGTGAGGAAAAAAAAAATTATAAAAGAAGTTGACTTGGTAAATAGATTTCAGAGAGTTCTTTCTGGTCCCCATGGCTGTACCAGGCAGGAAAGAGATGTTTTGAACATTCTTATCAATATGAATATTGATTTTCAAACTGTCCTCCCCTAGTCCCAGTCTAAGAATTTGCTGTCAATGATTCATCTGTGGACAGTTTTGCTTCTTCTTCTTTTTTTTTTTTTTTCAGATAGAGCGGGAGGGGGAGAAGGAGGAAGAGAGAGAGAGAAACATCGATGCGAGAGAGACACATCGAGTGGTTGCCACCTGCACAACCCCAACCGGAGTCAGGGACAAACTGCAACCAATGTATATGCCCTCAGTGGGAACCGAACCCAGGACTCTCTGGTCTGCAGCCGACGCTCTAACCGCTGAGCCAAATCGGCCAGGGCCAGTTTTGCTTCTTAAACGCACAGATACTGAGAAGATGAGTTCTCAGTGGCACCTCTCCTCTTGGACCAGCGTCTTCGGTCGTCTGAAGGGCTTGGCTTTGGAGGCCGCATTGCCAACCGCATCTGCCTTTAGAACCGGCCTCAGGCCACAGGTGACGGGCGAGGGGCGGAGCGCTGCGGCAGGTGAGGACTGTTCCTTCCAGGCAGGTGGTCCGCGCGGTGAGGTGAGCTTGGGCTCTGGCCACAGAGGTGACCAGCGCTTAACGACAGTGCTGTGTGTAGGGGCCCCCTGCTCTGGGAGCTGCGCAGAATTTCACACCCTCAGGAGGCGGTGCTCGGGCCACCTGATTGACTCCCGGAAAACAGTGGCGCTGCGCCCGTTGGTGGGGTAGGAGCCCCGAGGATGTTTCTTTCCCGCTTCATTTACTCTCGTCCCCAGTGTGGGACCGCGTACTGAACCTGCTCTTACCCTTCTTCTGTAAGATAAGGGAAACTCTGCCGTGTCTACCCCAGTCGTATCGACCAGAAACTGCCCTATCAGAAACAGAGGTCACGGTGTCCTTTCCCGGAAAAAAGCTTCACCAAGGACCCCTCTTCCTCCAGTTCCACTTCCTGGTGGCACATGTTTTCAACAGTTAAGAGAAGTTTGTCCTTTGGGGACAACTGAGGTAACCGTGCTGGGCTTTGAGGTGGAATTTTAAGGGCTAAGTAAATGTAAACTTGATTGAACAGCCTTGGGAGCCATTCAGTCAGATGGGAAAGTGTACTTTGCATATTTGCATGAACCTTAATAAAATATATTTATATTGATTACATATTTATCTTAATTTTACTTTCATCCTTTTTTTGGAGAAATAATTTCACTTTTTAAAAAAGTTTGTCTTTTTATTTAGAAGTAATTTCAAACCTCCAGAAAAATTTTAAGAATAGGAATAGTTCACATAGAACCCCCAGGGCACACACAATGCCCAATACCCTTCACCTGACTTGCCAGGTGTGAAGATTCCACTTCGTCTGCTTCTCCTGTGAGCTTCCAGTGTGTGTGTGTGTGTGTGTGTGTGTGTGTGCGCGCGCGCGCACAGGGCTGTGCACGATGCAAACAATACAGACAGTATTGTTTTTTGAACCACTTGGGAGGAAGTTGCTTATATTTATGGTCCTTCTAAACACGTCAGCATGTAGAATACGAACTATTCTGTAACATAATTACAGTACAGTTATCAACTTCAGTACATTAAACATTGAGAAAATAATTTAACTTATAGTCTAAACACATTTGGCCCAATAATGTCCTAGACAGAATTTTGAATTTAAAAATGACTTTTTTGTACCTTAAAAGAATATGAATGTACAGAGTTCACATGACACTCAGGGTAGAACTGGGCTAGGCCTCAGCTTCTTGGGAAATATGTATATTTATATACATAAAATATTTATTAATACACATATGTATATTCATATATATTAGAATATATTTTTATATTTTAGGTAGCTCTAGATTTTAGATAATTTCGTGTACAAGTCGGTGACGTTTAGTTGAGCGCAGACCGGCACGCACGTGGTTTGCACCTGGTGTGCTAAGCGTGCGCGCCAGCCCAGAGCCCGGACTAAGCAGCTGTGTGTGCCGGAATGCCCATCCCCCTGCCAGCGCCCTGCCCTCCTCAGAACCACGTGCTCTAACAGGCTGTCGTTCTCCCTGTTTGCATGCAGATCCCCCTTACCAGCTCTGACGCTGTTCCGTACCTTGAATTCCTGTCCAGGTTCGGCGGACTTGACCTAAATATAACTGTTACAAAGCGGTAAGTGTTTTTTTGTTGTTGTTCATACGAAAACGTGAAATTTGAAATGATAAGAGATAGGACATGAGGTCATTAGAGCTAACCATGTCAACAGATATATGTGGGCGACATGTTGGTGGAGCTTGTCTCTGTAGAATGTACTAGAATTAATCCTCAGTCAGACATTCATTTCAGCTTCCCTCCTGGCCCATGTGAGATGGGGCTGCTGAGACGGGGCCGCGGAGACGGGCCGCGGAGAAGGGCGGGCGGCTGAGACGGGCCTGCTCTGGGCTGCGGGAGCCTGCTGGCTTTAAGCGAACAGGAGGAGCTGGAGGATTTGCTGGATGACTGCCCCTCGAGCACCAGTGAAGACGAGGGGACAGTGATGCAAAGCGAAAGCGGCACAAACCCCTGGGAGCAGTCAGCTCCCTGGACGGGAAGAACAGGTGGAGATTGGCTGAGAAGACAGGCTGGTCTGACCCTCAGGGGCCACTGAATAAGCAACAGAACAGAGTCAAATCAGAGAAGACTGGAGTTACCCTGTAACAAAGAGGAGGTTGGGCGGATCCACAGAGAAGTGATGTTCAGTGAAACCCCACAAGCCCTCTCCAGGTGGGAGCCCGTCGTTCTGGAGAACTGACGAGCGGAGCAGCTGGTTTGCCCCTGAAGAAGGAGCCGCCAGCCTGTGCTCCCACTGAGCATGTGCTCGCGCGGGGAGGCAAGAACTCCCCGGAGCAGGCAGTTCTTAACCTCCCGGGTAAGGAGGCAGCCAGTGAGGGACCCTTCACTGGCTCCTGTGCAACGCCTCTCAAAGCCATGAGCCTGCAAGAGCGAACATGCGCCACGCAGAGCTGCAGAGGGCCAGGGCCCTGCGGTCCTACTGTGAGACCAGGGCTCGAAGAGAGAAGAAAATCAAAGCGAAAAGCGTCACAGAGTTCTGAAGAAAGGAAAGGCCCAGAGAGAGCTTGAGAAGCTGTGGAAGGTCCGTCCTCCCACTGCGCGGGAAGAACTGGAAAAACTCGGAAAAGCCAGGATGATGGAACGCCTGAGCCTTACGCACCAGGACAGCGGGAAACGGGCACGGTCAAAGGCAGCGATGGCCCAGCATGACCCGGAGGCTCACCAGGCTACGCGGGAGCACCTGGCCAGGAACAAAGACACACAAACTCCAGGCGGCCTCTGACAGTGAGGAGGAGGGGAGGTGCAGAAGAGGGTGGCCGCCTTGTCCCCGGTGTGGTGAATGAAGTACAGGTGACCGCAGGTGGACCAGACCCCTGGATGGCCAGGAATCACTCTGGTGATGCAAAGGAGGCCGAAAGTCAGGAGGACCCCAAACAACTTCCAGAACCCTTGGCCGACGAGGCTTCTGAAAGAGGGAGAAGAAAGACCAGTGGTTGAGGAAGAAATTTTGTTGAAAGAGTTTGAGGGAAGGCGACCGCTAAGGAAAGAGCCTAGACTCAAGCAGGACCCCAAGCCGGTGGGCAGACAAGAGACAAAAGCTTCTAACAGCCAGGAGGTGCTGTGCGAATGGAGGGCACGGTCTCAGAAACAGCGAGGACAGCCATCCATCTGGGAGGTAAAACGTGAGTTCGGCAAGCACGGTTCTGCCAGTTCAGAGAGAGAACCTGCTGGGGAAGAAGCGGAGCCTCTATTTTAGAGAAGATTCTAACATCTATGTAGGATACATTTCAGAATAATAGAAATAATACTGTATTAAAAGTGCAAACACAAATTAAAATCAGATTAATGTGTGCAGTGCATTTCAGACTTGGAAATAATTTTAATTTTGAAGTAAAAGTATAAGATGCCAAATTAAAAATTTGGTCATTTTTATACAATTTAAATGTTTCCCAGTGGAAAGTGATCGTATACTGGTAGCTAGAAATTAAATATTTTTTGAAATTTTATCTATTATTATTTTTTTATTCTCACTTGATATGTTTCCTGATTTTAGAGAGAGGAAGGGAGAGAGAGAGAGAAACATCGATATGTGAGAGAAACATAGATCCATTGCTTCCTGTATGAACCGCAATGACCAGGGATTGAACCCGCACCCTAGGTATGTGCCCCGACCAGGAATCAAACCCACAACCTTTTGGTGTACGGGACAGTGCTCCAACCAACTGAACCACCCAGCTAGGGCTCAATATTTTTAAAAAGATGTTTGAATGAGCTTCTTTGTATTTCATAGCTTTAGTATAAGCATGGGGCTTATTTGCTTTATCTGCAAAATGAGAGTGTTAAATATGAACTTTAATTCTCTATCTGCTGTGAAGTTTTTTTATTTAGTGTATGATTTAGGAAATATTGTTCTAATAACAAAAAGCCATTCACTCGTTGTCTACTATAAATGAATGGGCCTCATTTCCTTAGGAATTGTGTAAATTTGGTCCTGAAATATCAGCAAATGTCGGTATTCAAGCTTTCATGATAGGATCCAGCATGGATGCAGCTTAGGTGCAGGGATTCGTGTAGCAGGAGGAGGGACAATAGCTTTCGCTCAGCGGGCATAGAGTTCCAGTTTTGTAAGATGATCAAGTTCAAATCTGTTGCACAACAATGTGAATCTGCTTAACATTAATAAGCTGTCTCTTAAAAAATGGTCAAGATGGAAGATTTTATGTTATATGTTGTTGTTTTTACCACAGTTAAAAAAAAAAAGAATCAGTACAGCAGTTCCAACAAGACTAACGAAATAGTACCCCTTTGTGAGCTGGGACTTCGCTATGCTATGTTTACTTAATGCTAGTAAGTCGTGGCTAAGATAATTTCCAAGGCCATTCGAAAGAATGAGTTGTTGTTTTATAGACTGCATATTCACACCCTTGCCCTAAAACCACCCCCATTAGGGATAGCATTGTTGGGTGGACAGTAACCTAATTTGGTGTGTTTTGATGAAAAAGCTAGACAACTGGAAAAACTAAAAACAGGAGAGTTCTTTTTTTGTTTTCTTTTTTTATTGCAAAACATCAGTCTAATAATTAATTTGAAGTTTAAAGGATAATAAGTTACTCCTTAAAAGGCAAATATTTAAACTAAAAGTGAAAGATTTCTGACTTAGAAGAGAAGCTGAATTCTCTTTGTTGAAGACAATGCCTTATAGTTAATGGAGACTTCTCTTTGTAGTAATATGGTAGGATGTATTCATGAACAGCTCTTCTACGCAAAATAACTAAAATGCTGGATAAAGGTAAAATACTTTAATACATTACTGAACTGACAAGAAAGTAAGCAATCTCCAGAGGCCAGATATGAAGTAAAAATTGGGACCCAGAGAAGTGGTCTAAAAAGCAAACTACTGCCTTGAGGATATTGGCCAAATCCTGGTGAATTTGTGTGTCAGTTTTGTTGGCTATTTGGAGTGAAGGGGTAAGAGACAAAGCCTAGAGGGTCTGCCCAAGGTGGAGGCACATAATAGAAGATCAATACATACAGAGTTGGGAGACCAACTCTGTAAGGATCACTTACAAACATACCCCTGCATCACAGAAGGACACAACAAGGAAACCTGCCTGTTTTAGTACTGTCATGGAGTGAATAGGGGTAAAGACTGTAATTACAAGTTGATTTTCATGCACGTCTGTGCCTGAACTAATGCTATCAGTATGGTCTGAAAAGTCTCAGGCTAGGGATTTACTTAAAACTGGTCCCGGACTGGATATATCCTCCTGTAAGGAATACATCTTCAACCTAGCCCTTAAAGAATTTCCACAGACAAAATACCAAGTAACATCAGACCACAAAAGGAAATCTTGAAAATATGTGAAGAGACAAATGATGCGGAATTAAAACCAATAGACACAATATCTAGTAGAATATTGGAACTATCAGATGCAGAATTTAAAACTGGTGTTTTAATGTTTAAAGAAATGAAAGAATGGATTCAATATATGAATACAAAAGAAGAGGCAATAAAAATAGAGATTTGAAGAAGTACAAAACAAAATTTCTGGTCCTGAAAGATATAATAATTATAGATATAAATTCACTGGATGGGTGAAAATAGTGGATTAAACACAGCTGAAAAGAGTATCAGTGGAGTGGAAAATAGATCTGAAGAAATTATCCAGAATGCAGCGCAGAAAGACAGAGATATAAAATATGGAGAACAGGAATAAGAGACATGGAAGATGGGAAGAAAAGGCCTGGTATACTTCATATTGGATTTATAGATATATAAGAGAAAGATTAGAACAGAGATAATATTTGAAAAGATAATGTGGTTGAGATATCAAGCCAGATAATTAAAATACATGCCTAGACATATCACAGTGAAACTACAGAACATCAAAATCAAAGAGAACACATTGCCTTGGCCAGGTAGCTCAGTTGGTTAGAGTGTCATCCCAATACAACAAAGTTGCTGGTTCAATCCCCAGTCAGGGCACATACAAGACTCAACCAATGAATGCATAAATAAGTGGAACAACAAATCTATGTCTCTCTCTCTCTCTCAAATCAATCAAAATTTTAAAAAAAGAAAATATTAAATATTTTGATAAGAAAAAATGAATTGACTTCAGAGAAATGACAATTAGACTGACACTGATGTCTCAACACTGACAATGAAAGGTATAAAAGGGAGTAAAGAATCTCTTCAGTGTGCTGAAATAAAATATTTGCCATCCTAGGATTCTAGACTAGTAAGAATAAGAATAGGAGCATTTTCTTTGGGAGTCCCTGAACCCTCTCTTCTCCTGGCCACAGTTATGGTCATCAGTTATGGACTGATAACAGGGTATTTGGAAAAGGGAAAAACATCTGGAACCTTTGCCCGTGGTGTTGAAGGCTGCCGTTCAGCCTGATCTTGTATATTTTCTTCATACTCACCTGTATAAAAATAACAGGCCGACTTTGCAGTCATTGGATTTTTCAGGTCATTAGACTTGGGCCGAATGTTAGGACGCTGATAGAGTTGTAGCTCAGGTTCCCTGAATTTGTGCTGGTGGGACTTACAATTTCGGTCACAGCTCTTCCCTTCTGAGAGATCACATTTAGTGTCAGCCAACATTCGAGGCCCTTGACAACACAGAATGATCATAACGCAGAAATGACATTCTGCCTGCTCTGGCCTGGCCATTTCAACCTTACCAGAACTCTGTAAAAATGACCACATGAGGAAGTTCCTGAATGTCCTAGTGTGGTTGGTTAAGTTGGGAGCAACATGAAGATTAAAAAGGACATTTTGCTTGTAAAGATATTTAAGACCTGAAATGATACCAAAAAGTCTATGCCTCTGAGTGTCAGAAAGCTGGTAGGGACAAAATGTAGAACTATTGTCGTATCTGGCATGGAGGACCCCACATCATCTGTAATAATGGTGGCATCATCACCAACCCTTCAGAAACACCAAAGGAATTATTCTTCTTGAAATGAGTACATTGGGCCTTTTGTTCCCGAGGGAGGTGTAGGGAGTTCCTGCACGTGGACAGAATGTCTTCTGCACGTTAGATACTTCATACGGAGCTTGGCACAAGCTGCCTGAAGAATAACTACAACCTTCGATGTGCAAAACAATCAAAATCTCTTAGTAGAAGTTTTCAAAAACTTTCTGAGCAGCACACAAGAAGGTTCCCCACAGAGGTCTGAAGAAGAGCTCACTGAAGAGCCCAAGACTTACGTTGAAGCCAAGTTCACAAAGACCATGTGTGTTGGCCTTCAGGGTTCAGTTGACAGAGCGGATGTGGACCTGAGTCCAGCAGGTGGACTGTGGCGAAGCATAGAGGAAGGAGGAAGCTTTGGGCCCAGAGGAGCAGGACTTGGCAGGGAAAAAGATTGTTTGCTACAAAGAAACAAGCAGCTAAAGAAAGTCCGGAAAAGGAACCCATACGAAAGAAGAGAAGCCTTCTGCCTAACACCTTGAGTGTGTGTGTCTCGAAAGGCCAGTTCAATCTGGACAGTTTATTTGAATTTCTGAAGGTTGAAGACATGGTAAAATCAGCAAGAAATATTAAAAAAATAAAGACTGAGGGGAAAAAGAAAGACACAAAAGCGGAGTTCATCTCCAGATCTTGACTGAAGGAGGTTCTAAACAGTGCGCTCGAGGCAGAAGGAGAGGGGTCCTAGATGGACCCGCAGGCCCTCTGTCACCTGGCTGTCCTCCCCGACAGGTGGGTACTCTTGCCGCTCTCTTCTTTGTTCACTGTGCTCCAAGCCCAAGACCTTCTCGGTGTGGCTGTCTTAGGGCCTTGGACAGGTGGCCCGCTGTGCTTTCCCCGAAGGTCGCTCTTCCCGCGCCCGGTAGGTTAATACTCAGTGTGAGCTCCATGCGTGCAGGGATCGTTGTCAGTTCTATTTTTTTGACATATCTCAAGCCTCTAGGACAGCATTTGGCACATAGCAGGTGCTTGCTACATATTTATTGAAGAAGTGGATGGAAAAACAGCAATGAAAACCAGCAAACCTATAGCCAGCAACCCGAATGAATCTCATGGACGTAATATTGAGCGAAGGAGCAAGAAAGAAGAGACTCCTAGTCATGTGACATCCAGAAAAGACAAGCCAAACTATTTTTTAGGGGTACATACCTAGGTGGTGAAATAACAACAACAAAAGGAAATGACATCTTAAGTACTAAGGTACCAGGACGAGAGGAAACATTACGATTGGAGAAGCACAAATAGGGGACTTTTTGTGTTTGGCTTTGATTCTTGATTTGGGTAATTGTTAAGCAGGTTTGCCTTAATTATAGTTAAACTGTGCATTTATGTTGTATGTACTTTTCTGCAAATGGTTATATTTCATAATAACAGTTTAAAGCTCAATGAATTTAATAAAGCAGATTAGACCCAGCCGAAGCAATCAGTGGCCTGGAAGATGGGTCAGAAGAATTCAGCCGGAGTGCAGCGCAGCAACACGGAGGGTGTTCTTGGAGTTCTGTGAAGAGAGCTGGGGTGGGGATAATAGCCAAAGAACCTTCCAGAACTGATGAAAGGTGCTGTCCCACGGATTCAAGCCAAATCTCAAGCGGGATTAAAGACAGGAGTAGAGACAGAACCCCAAAGGCAAAGCCAAGTGCCAATATTTAGACAAAAGTGACTTCTGACCAATACAGATGGAAACCAGGACAGGATTGGTTAATAACTAGAACATGCTGAAAGAACATCGCAGCCGTCCCAGAATTGTGAATGGAAGTAGCTCTCAGCACTTTCAGAAGTGAAATAAAGGCAGGTAGAAGGAAATGACCCCAGTGGAAGGATGGAGAGGGTGGGAGAAGGGACGAAGAGCAAGATGGCAGCAGGTGCGTGGTCACGTCTAAGCATCTACTGAGTACAGGAAACGCTTAGCAACTGTAGGAAATAACAGTGAGTTCTGGAGTTTATAAATGGAATCAAAATACAGGATAAGATTAAAACTGAGAGGAGGGCCCTGGCCAGTTTTTCCCAGTGGTTAGAGCATCAGCCTGCGGACCAGAGAGGCCTGGGTTCGGTTTCCGCTAAGGGCACGTACCTCGGTTGCAGTTTGTCCCCGGCCTGGTTGGGGTCGTGTGGGTGGCAACCAGTCAGTGTGTCTCTCTCATGTCGATGTTTCTCTCTCTCTCTTCCTCCCTCTCTCCCTCCTGCTCTATCTGAACATAAATGCAAAAATGTTCTCAGGTGAGGATTAATTAAATAAATAAATAAATAAATAAAGTAAAATTGAGAGGAGGGACTGGATTGACATGTTCTAGACTTGTTACATCATCCATAGGAAGATACAAGTTTGATTAACTTAGACTTAGAAAATTATGCAGGTTATAATTTCCAGAGCAACTGTTACAAGGTTAGACATGGAGTGAATAACTCACAGACTTACAGAGGCAAACACATGGAATGATAATGAGGTCAACCCAAAAGAAGGCAGGAAGGAGCAGATTGGGCAGGACAAATGGGCAGCTGAAAATGTCAGTAACTAGAATAAACGTTCCACTTAAAGAACGAGGATTGGCTAGATAACAAATAGTAAAATTTGCTAAGAGGAAAACCAAAACAAAAGTTTATAGAAGGGTTAAAGAGGAAAGGATTTGAAAAGACGCACTCTCCCAGTAGATACCAAAGGAAGCTGACGTCACTAGCGTAGTACCAGCTGACAGACTGGGTTCCCCTGAAGCAGACGCAGGTGTATCAGGAAGGACGCTGAGAAGAGGGCTGAGCAGGGCAGGGCCCAGGGAGACGGTGAGCTGCCCTGCGCCGGGCTGAGCCTGGGGCTGCCTGAGGGCGGGGCTGCCTGAGGGCGGGGCTGCCTGAGGGAGGGCGGGGCTGCCTGAGGGCGGGGCTGCCGGGAGGGCGGGGCTGCCGGGAGGGCGGGGCTCCGGAGCCACAGGCCCTGCTGCTCTTCTTCAGCTGATGGTGCACACGCAGGCCTTTGTCTGAGTTGTATTTGTTAAATCTTAAACACGTTAAAAATGCTGTTTTCTGTCTATTTAATACATAAATAAAACTGTTAAAATACTACATTTAACATAGGCTCACGAGACTGGGTTCTTGGCAAGGCTCTATGTTTGACTTGGGATTGCACTTACCCCTCTGAGCCTCAGCGTCCTCCCATTAAAACGAAGTTAATTTCTGCCTAAAATGCTCCGACGGCTTCCGCTTACCCTGGTATGAAGTCCAGACTCCTCATCGTGCCCATAGAACTGCCGGCTCGTTGGGCCTCGGTCTGCCTGGGCTGTGCTGACTCCTGTGCCCGCTGGGCTGTGAGCTGCTGGCTGCTGCCTTTGCTTTGCCCAGAGGGGTTTCCCCCCAGTGGACGGCTGCTAGCGCCTCGGCACGTGGGTCTGCTGCCCCCGCATCTGGAAGCGTGCTCCATCTTCCCGCCTCCCCCCAGCTCCCCGCCTCTCCCCAGCTCCCCGCCTCCCCCCAGCTCCCTGCCTCCCCCCAGCTCCCCGCCTCTCCCCAGCTCCCCGCCGGCCTTGTTTCCTTCAGGCTCCCTTGTTACAGCAGCTACGGCACCTGCTCGCTTTTCTCTCTCTTGCTCTCACCAGCACTGAGCTTTCTGGAGACTGGGAACGGTGTCCTGGGCACCCCTGCGGCCCTGGCCCTGCGTGTAAGTGGCGCTGGTTTAGCAGTGGGACCCGGAGGGACAGAACGCCTGTTGTTCCTCACCCCACCCCAGCCCGACCTGTTGTTCCAAAGAGGGGCTCCGACGTGGTTTATGCAAAACGGTGGTTTACAGCCACTGCAAACTCAAAAATAGTTAACAAAAACACCGATGGAGCCAAGGACTGGTGTAGACATTCATCCACCATGAAGTCCTTCCTGAGTGGCTGGGCGTGTCCCCTGGCGGGACTGGGAGCCCGCGGGTGAAGCATAGCAGCAGGGGGCAGGGGGCTCTGCAGGCAGGATGCCTGGCCTGGACCTGGTGCCTCCACTTCCTCATGGGCAACCTTCAGCCCCCTGTCCGCCGAGGCGAAGGGGCCCGACCTTCAGCCCCTTGTACACTGAGGCGAAGGGGCCCGACCCCCGGAGCTGTGAGGATTGGACGGGGGGAAGCTTGGCCGTGGCGAATGATCACCAAGTGCTGCCCTCCTTGCTCAAGCCCCATCTCCCTCAGGAGGAGTCCAGGTCCCAGAGGAGGAGCTGAGGCAGGGAAGCCCGTCGCTGGCCCGAGCTGGTACGTCCGGCAGGTGGCAGTGAATGAAATAGCTCACATCTCAGACACGGAGCTCAGGAACCCTTCTCACTTTGAGCTCTGCGCGGCCCACACAAGCATTTACTTGGTTACAACATTTTAACAAAAAGTGCTTGTTTTTCAGGGACAGTGGAAATGAAATGAGTGGGTGTCGGACATTGAAAGAACTTGGAATTCAAATAGGAGAAAAGGTAATAGCTTTTAGAATTCTTCCCCCCACCCCTTTGTCAAAAGTAATTGTTAAACCCTGGCCAATGTGGCTCAGAGGTTAGAGTGTGGTCCCGAGGACCGAAGGGTCCCAGGTTCCATCCCTAGCCCCAGTTGGGGTCGTGTGGGAGGCAACCAATTGATGTCTCTCTCACATCGATGTTTCTCTCTCCTTCCGCCCCTCTCCTTTGCACGCTATCTAAAAAAAAAAAAAAAAAAATCAATGGAAAAAAATCCTTGGGTGAGAATTAACAACGACAACAAAAAAGGTAGTTGATAGCAGAGGTAGATGATGCAGAATGAGCCACGCCTTGTCATCTGTGTTCTCACGTCAAAGTCGTCGGGCTAAATAGATGTTGTGAGGATGCTGGTGAAAGCCGGCATTCAGGTGACGCCGCCGCCTGGGTGGCAGCTCTCCGATGAGTGACACCAGCAAAGTCCTAGAACGTTAATTACTTTTGTATTAACTTTAGGGCATTATTAGCAGGGCTGCCCTTTCTGTTTTTGTCTAAGACTGAAGCAGGGTTTTCTTTAAAAAGAGAAAACTACTGTTTTTCAGCAGTAAGTGCCAATCAAGCGCAGCATGGTAAAATAAGCAGGAAAATGCGAAGTGATATGTGTGGAAGGATTGAGTCGTTGAGCCACGGAAGCTGCCTCGCACGTTTAGAAGGGGAGCGTGTAGCTGCGTCCCTGTGAGCTGATTATGTTGGATGTCACAGTGCCCAGCTCGAGGTGGGAGGGGGGTGGGGAGGACATGTTCATGGCATCGGGGGTTGGAACAGACCCCTTTTTAAAATGCATTTGAACCTGTCAGTTACATGAGCAGTTTGAGAATCATGGCTTAATTTATTTGATTCAATATGTTGGTTTGAAATGTGACAAATTTTCTTTCCTTTTTGAAATCTTCTGAGATTTTCATACATTTGAATATCAAAAATAGCCAGGAATCCACAAAGTGTTCATCTGAATTTTCCCAGCTGATGCCACGAACACCGGGACATTTCATCGGAGTGTGATCATGTTTTAGCATCATGTGCTCCTCAAAATCCAGTTCCCCGTGGCTTATGTTGGCAGGACCTGCCATACGTATTGGCTTCCTCGGTTGTGGGCCATTTGTTCTTCTGTAAGAAACACGTAATACGATTGATACTCTTGATGTGGTGTGTCTTTAATTTGTCTCTTCATGGACGGTGTCAATCATGAGATTCTCCGAGAAAAGCCAGCTGTTTAGGTCTTTCATATTGGTATACATTTTGCATGGATCAGTAACGCAGCATTACGTTGGCGTGGAGTGCATGGACATGACTCAGGACCGTAAATTACTGAAAATCAGGCTGTGAGGAGGAAGGCTGGGCGGGAACGCCCCCCCCCCCCGACTATCCCTTCGTCCAGATCTTTTCTAACCCGTCAGTGGGAGAAGCCCTCCCATCCACGTGGAGTCCGTCCAAACCCATGCCGCTCTCCAGCCGTTCCCAGTGCAGACAGAAAGATGACGGTACAGGGCAGAGCAGGGGGTGGAGCTAGCCCTTCGCTCCAGGCCAGCGCCAGGGAGCTCTGTCCTGCGTTCGGGCCAGCACGGACTACGGCCCAGACTCTGCCCGGGACCCCAGCCCTGCACAGGCAGGTGGGTGGGACCAGACCGGCCTGGGGTTTCTGCCTTGGGGCCCTGCCACTCTGCCAGGCTGCTGAGCCTCTGTTCAGTCTCCCTCCACATCAGTACAGGCCAACCAAGGCGCCTGCCCCATGGGCTTCTGGGAGTCAAATAATGTAGCACCTAGAACCACCCCCAGTAAGAACGTGCTCCGTCCGTACGAATGATTACTCATACTAGAGTTGGCAAAATGCGAAGAATTACATTAGTGCCCGAAGGACGAAGGCCCAGCCAGCCCGGGAGACCCCGTGACTGGGTGGCTGAAGCAGACACTGGTGTTGCCGTCCCCACTTCTCTTCCCCTTGACCCCCTTTTCTCCTTTCCGTCAAAACCCACCAGTCTCCATTGTGTTCAGAGACCCGCCCTCTGGTGGCCACGTGCTTCCGGGGAGGGAGCCCACGCCACGCCAGGGTGACCAGTGTCATTGCAGTGATTGGGGCAAGTGTGGGACATAAACCTGGGCTGTGAGTCATGGGGAGAAGTGGCCCTGTGGTTACGGCGTCACGCTGGAGAAATAGTCCGACGGGGGTCAGACACCGCAGCACACGCAGGCCGAGCCTGGGGCAGCCTCCTGGTGACAGGGGAAACGGGACCTGCGCGCCCTCCTGGCTCATTCCTCGTCTCCGTTAGTTCTCACAGGGCCACAGGGCAGGGCAGCCGAAGGCCGTGGTGGCTGAGGGGTGCCGCCTGCTGGCACTAAAGCCTCCCGCAGGAAGGATAGCGCCTCACCAGCACCAGCCTTATGTGGAGGAGGGACTAACGAGTATGTCATTCATTCCTAGAACCCCCCTGAGTGGTAAGTTTCCTCATCTCCGCCTTGGAGATGAGGCAGCTCAGAGCAGTGAGGGAGAGACCTGTCCACAGCCCCGCAGGACGCTGCCGAGCCTGGATTTCAGACCAGCCTCTGATTCTCACTGCATCCCTCCCCTCCTGGAAGCCCCGGGGAGCCAGAGTGCTCCGGCTCCAGCCCCGAGACACGCGGCCGGAGGCACGGAAGAGGAGTCGAAGGAAAACACACGTGTCTGTGACCATGAAAAGCAGGGCCCAGAGGCCGAGGGCACGCGAGGCACGTGCGGGACTCAGCGCAGATTAAACCCGGGAACGGCACCAGCTGGAACCCGAGGATGCTGCCTCGAGCACCACCTGGGCCTGCCGAGCACCCCCAAACACGTGGCCCCAAGGGCTCAGACCGCAGCCCCAGGATCACAGTCACCAGGACACAGAGATGGGAGCTGGAGATCATCCAGTCGTCCCCTCGACTGATGGAGACTCAGACTCGGAGCCGGAGGGTCCGCCTGGGGAATGAGCGTGAACGTGAACGTGCGTCAGAGGCACGTGAAGAAGCGAGAGGCGAGGAACCGACTGTCCGACCGAGCTCGCTGCACAAGCAAACAGGAGAACAAGCACTGGGGGTCCGTCAGTTTGGGGTGCCAACTGCTAATTGTTTGTTGGTCGGGAAGGCTAGACCACACATACATTTAGCAAAGCCTGGGTCCCAACACCCAGAGACAGTTGCGTGCGTCCTCGCCCAGCAAGCCCTGTGGACTTCTGTTTGAAACAACACGCAGCGTCCTTCCACCCCCGCACTGTACGGTCACCCCGCATGACCGCACAGGTGTGGAGGGAGCCTTCCTGGTAATTCCCAGGCACTGTTCTGTCTCCGCGTACGCGTGGGCCTTTCGCGGGACCGGAGTCCTCACTTGCAGTGAGCTGCTGTGAGGTGGGCGCGTGTTTGCTTTGTTCGTCCATCTCGGGGTGGCTGGGAAGGGGGAGACTTCGAAGGAAGCTGTAGTAACAACCAGACAATAGTGGCTGCGTTGCCCAGGCCCTCCAGGTGCGTACTGCCAGATACTTTCAGGCCACACAACAGCACTTTACGGTGGGTGTGAGTGTCCCGCTGACATGAAGAACCCCAGTGACCAGGACTTGCCCAAGGCAGCTGGGCTCCAGGGTCCTCGCCCCACACCCCAGGCAGCCCTGATGTAACATCGACTTCCGATGGGCATTTGGGGAGTCTCCTCTACCCCTTGGGCACCCTGCCCTCACATTCTCCCCAGCTCCTCCTCCCTGCCTGCCGCAGGGCCCAGCTGAATCCGAGTGGTGGCCGCGTCCAAGGCCCAGGACCCAGGTCTTCGCCTTCTTCAGGACCCGAGGACCAGGCCCAGCCTCACCGTGTGCCGGGCTCGCTGCATTTTGGTCTTTTACTCTGTGTTTGGTCAGTCCCCAAGGTGGGCAAGGCGGGAGCGGGCGGAGAGGCTGGCACAGGGAGAGAATCGCATGTCGCCGCTTGAGGTGGGGCGAGTGCTGTTGTCACCCCGCCCGCCCGGGGAGTCAGCGAGAGGGCTCCTCCGGCCCGCAGGGGGCCCGGCGTGTGCCCTGCCCCCCCGCAGAAAGACTGTTCCTAAGTGAGGTCTAGACAACATAGAGAAGAATAAATAAGCACACCCGAAGCCCCAGGCTGTGTGCTCTGGCCTCGTCGCCACCCCACTTCCAGCCCGGGCGCCGTGATGCAGAGCCGCTGGCCCAGCCGGCCGTGGCGTGTGTCTGGGGCACCGCGCTCCAGCCTGGGCACTCCGTGGGTGCGGCCCGAGCGGAAGCAGTCAGTAAGGCAGAGTGCTGAGCTGCTTGGTGTGCGACATCCTCACGGAGAAAAGACAGAGGTGATGGGCAGGTTCATTTTCTTAAGTAGGTGGATTCTCCTATGGAAAAAAATGTACAAAATGATGGCTCGAGGAATAAAGAAACAGTTGCTGGAATCACAGCCGTTTCACGAACACGCCTCGCCGTCCTAACCCGCAGGAGCACGAGCGCGCGTGCCGGATGCCGTCTGTCTGCCGAGAGCGAGAGGACGGCGCCCGGCCCAGAGGAGGCCGTCGGCTCACGCGCTCTCGGCTGCTCGCCGTCCTCCTAATCCGCCGTTATCAGCTCTGCCCCGTGCTCTCCGTATTAATTGCCTCTGATAGCAGGTATTTGAACACATCTCCCCTTTCATCTGAGGGAAATATTAGCATATCGCCGCGCTGCTGGGACAGATTGCGTCTGAGGCTCTTCCTCCCGCAGGAAAGCCCATCAATCACAGCGCGCACGGTGATTAGCAGTGTCACAGCTCCGCGCGTCTGCGCCGCCGAAGACTGCCGCTTGCATTTGATCTGGAGAATTCCACCTGACAAACAGTCACTTGCCACTTTATAAAAAATTATAGTGAAAACACTTCTACTCCAGGACCTATTTTTGGTTGCTCTATTATTAATTTCCTAAAGGCTTCGTTGGGAGACTAAAGCAGAGATTCTGGTATATCAGAATTTGTCATTATTTCAGACCAAGTTTATTTAT